CACTCCCTCAGCACTGACCCTCCGACAGTGCCCACTCCCTCAGCACTGTGGACATTGAAAGCATTAGGAGGAAATGGCCTAGTGGTATTATTGTAAGGACTAATTGTGATGATGCAGTCACTTTAAGAGGTTCTTGTGTCGTTTTTTTTTGAAGTGAGGCTGTAAGGCAGAAGTGTTGAGCTGCCTCTCAGAAAGTAAACAATTTGTGAGGTCCTGGGTTTATTTTATAAGTTTCAATAATGGAAGCAGCCTGGATATAGCCAGCTCTCACAGACCAGGCTTTCTTGATGTTTTGTTTCAGTTTTTAGTTGCTTTTTGGGGTCTCAAAAGAGTTGGAATCTTCAGTGAATGTCTCCTTGCTATTTCTTTCCCTGAATTGTCTCTTGATGTTTCCTGCCTCCTGGTTTGGAGAACTACATGTGAGAATCTGTATCTGTATTTCCTTTTCTGTCAAGGGGTGCATTATTGGGATGTTACTTTTGTGGAATGATTAATTAGTAATAGGTACTGTATCTATTATTCGCTGAAGTTTTCCCACAATTGTCATTCTAAATACTCGCTCGTTTGTATTTTAACTATAGCGTTTAAATAAATTGTTTTGCTTCACATCAAATAGTTTCACCAGTTACGTCCCATCTGGAACACGCTACTTCCCACCTATCTATTAAAATAAGAATAAGCTAGTGTCTAGGCTACCTTCTGAAAATTATATTGAGAGCTTCTGGTCTGGTCTGTAACACATTAATTCAGAAATCCAGGTAATATTCCAGCGTCCCCGGTTCATTTCTTCATTCACGGGATGAGGGTGGCACTGGTGAGGCAGCGTTTATTGCCCATCCCTAATTGCCCAGAGGGCAATTGAGAGTCAACCACATTGCTCTGGGTTTGGAGTCACATGTAGGCCAGACCAGGTAAGGATGAGCGTTTCCTTCCCTAAAGGGCATTAGTGAACCAGATGAGTTTTTCCGACAATCGTCGATGGATTCACAATCATTAGACTCTTAATTCCAGATATTTAATAAATTCAAATTTCACTGTCTGCCATGGCGGGATTCGAAATCAGAACATTATCTGGGTCTCTGGATTAACAGTCCAGCGATAATACCACTAGGCCATTGCCGCCCCTTATGGCAGATGGTGGAATTTGAATTCAATTTTTTTAAAAAATTCATGCAATTAGTCATCCAATGATGCCCATGAATCCATTGCTGATTGTCGGAAAAAACCCATCTGGTTCACTCATGTCCTTTAGGGAAGGAAATTGCCTTTTTACAAGGTCTGGGCCTACATGTGGCTCCAGACCCACAGCAACGTGGTTGGCTCTGAACTGCCCTCTGGGCAATCGGGGATGGGCAATAAATGTGGCGTAGTGGCATTTTCTGAATGAATCAATAAAAAACAAGGGGCCTCGTAAATATCCAAATTAACATCCCAATAATGCACCTGTTGGCAGAAAAGGAAATACAGATACAGATTCTCACATGTAGTTCTCCAAACCAGGAGGCAGGAAACATCAAGAGACAATTCAGGGAAAGTAGCAGCAAGGAGACATTCACTGAAGATTCCAACTTTCAGGGCGATGTTTGGAAGCACTTCTACGCGCACACACGGGCCTGGGAGTGTGCAGGTCCAGTTGAAGGGTGTAAGACCAGAAGCGAAATTGACAAAGCTGAGGTTGGATAAGACCGACCCGGGATTGCTGGGGGTGAAATGACTGAGCCAGTTGATGTAGCGGAGTGACCCTTGTGTACGATTGACCCTGCCTTGTCCCCTGTCCTTGGCGTTTCAGTTCCTGCTGGACCAGACAGACGTCCTTGTGATCGGAATCATCGGGCTGCAAGGAACGGGGAAATCGACCGTCATGTCTCTGCTCTCTGCCAACGCTCCGGTGGTAGACCAGAGGTCAGCACAGCCCGGGTTTTGAGGGGGGGGGGGCGCGCAGGTCAGAGGTCAGCACAGCCCAGGTTTGGAGGGGAAACACGTCAGAGGTCAGCTGCAGGCTGGGGCTTTCCGTATCCATGCTGGTGTCTCGGGTCACTGAGGTGCGATGTTGCAGCTGAAGGCTGTTCGGCCCATCACGGCTGCACCTGCTATCCATCTGAGCATCGTTACCAAGTGCCAGCCTCCTGTCCTTTCCTTCTTGCACACCACTTTTATCCAAATCAACTACCTCAACTGAACCTGCCTCCGCTACATTTCCAGGCAGGGCATTCCACACCCCCAGTGCTGGCTGGATGAAAATGTTTCTCCCCGTGTCACCTTTGCTGTCCTTGCACATCCATTTAACTCTATTCCCCACTAGTTCTTGTTCTTTTCTGAGCAGGGACAGCTTCTCTCTATCTACTCCGGCCTCGTATTCCCCGCTACAAGGTGGCAGTCAGACACAGACTCCCCATCCTTTCCTTCTCTCTCGTCATACGCCACCCCCTCCCTCCCCGACATTTCATAATCAGGGAGCATTGCACTGTCGGAGGGTCAGCGCTGAGGGAGCGCCGCGCTGTCGGAGGGTCAGCGCTGAGGGAGCGCCGCGCTGTCGGAGGGTCAGTGCTGAGCTCAGTACTAGTGTCATGTGTTTCCTCCTTGCATCGTTGCTGGAATCCACTTCGATTTGTGGAGGAAATGGCAAATGAAATTAAAACAAAACATGTTCCAGGCTCATTTCCTTGCCATTTTCTGGGAGGCTCTGCGAGGGAATCAGTGGCACTCCTTCAGTATTCAGCCCCTCAGCCAGATTGCCTCCTGGAGTCTTGGCCTGTGCTGAAGACTTCCTCTGCAGTTTGGAGTGAGCAGGCATTCAGGAGTGAGCACTGAGGTCAGCTGGAGCTGTTAGACCCCCTCTGCTGTGCAGTGAATACTGCACCAATTGTTCCTCTTTATCTGTTTGTTGAAACCAGCAGCAAACAGTCTCTGCTTTTGGCCCCAAGTTTGCGTGTTTTAATTGGGAAAATCATGGTCGTGGCATCTTGGCCCGTCTGTGTGTTTCTCTGTGTCTCGGAGAGCTCGCATTCCTTTATGTCTCTGTTTGGGTACCTGTTTGCATGTGTGTTTTGGAGCTGTTGTGTGATTACATGTGCATCAGGGCTCTGTCGCCTCTGACAGTGTGCGTGTCAGGCTCACATATGGGCACAAGCCTGTTTGTGTCTCAGTGCGTCAGCCTAAATGCACTTTGCATGTTTGTTTACAGTGTGTGTCTGACTACTTCTGCGTCTGCAGATGTTTCAGATATGACTACTGAAGTGCTGAGGAAAGGTGGAGCCGAAACGTTAATTCTGTTTTCTCTCCCCAGATGCTGCCAGACCTCCTGAGTTTTTAACCAGCAATGTCTGATTTTGTTTTTGGATGAAGGAACTGACAGGATTGTTGCTACATTTGCAGATGTCCAAAGATAGGTGGAGGGAGGCTGCAGAAGCACTTGGACAGGCTCAGAGAGTGGGCAGAGAAGTGGTGGGTGGAATACGGTGTGGGAAAGTGTGAGCTTATGCACTTTGGTAAAAAGGAGGTTTAGAGTATTTTCTGGATTGGGAAAAGGCTTTGGAAATCCGAAACGCAAAGGAACTTGGAAGTCCTAGTTCAGAATTCTCTTACAGTTAACATGCAGGTTCAGCTGGCATTTAGGAAGGCAAATGCAATGTTAACATTCATTTTGAGAGGGTTAGAATACAACAGCAGGGATGCACTGCTGAGGCTGTATAAGGCTCTGGTCAGACTGTCTTGGGAATGTTGTGAGCAGTTTCAGGCCCTGTATCTAGGGTAGGATGTGCTGGCCTTGGAGGGGCTCCAGAGGAGGTTCACAAGAACGATCCCAGGGATGAAGGGCTTGTCATATGAGGAGAGGTTGAGGTCTGTACTCGATGGAGTTTAGAGGGATGAGGGGGGAATCTGATTGAAACCTACGGAATACTGAGAGGCCTGGATACAGTGGTCGTGGCAATGTTTCCACTCATAGGAGAGACTAGGACCTGAGGGCACAGCCCCAGAGTGAAGGGACAACCCTTTAGAACTGAGTTGAGGAGAAATTTCTTTAGCCAGAGGGTGGTGATTTTTTTTTTAAAAGGTTCATTCATGGGATGAGGGTGTCGCTGTCTATTATTGCCCATCCTAGAGAGTAGCTGAGAGTCAACCACATTGCTGTGGGTCTGGAGTCACGTGTAGGCCCAGACCAGGTAAGGATGGCAGTTTTCTTCCCTAAAGGACATTAGTGAACCAGATGGGTCTTTCCGACAATCAGCAATGGATTCATGGTCATCATTCGAATCTTAATTCCAGTTTTGAATTCAAATTCCACCATCTGCCGTGGCGGGATTCGAACCCGGGTCCCCAAGACATTACCCGGGTCTCTGGATTAATAGTCCAGCGATAATACCACTGGGCTACAACCTCCCCAATGGGCCTTTATTGCCACAGAAGACTGTGGAGGCCAAGTCATTGAGTGTATTTAAGACAGAGATTGGTGAGGCCACTTTTGGAGAACCTATGTCCTGCACAGCTATCCAGTGTTCTGACCAATGAAGGCAAGCGTGCCAAATACCTTCTTCACCACCCTGTCTACCTGTGACTTCTCTCTGGAGTGTCAGAGGTTGAGGGATGACCTTGCATAGGTTTATAAAATCATCCGGAGCATGGATAGGGTGAAGAGCCAAGGTCTTTTCCCCAGAGTAAGGGAGTCCAAAACAAGAGCGCATAGTTAAAGGCAAAAGGGGAAAGATCTAAAAGGGGACCTGAGGGTTAACGTTTTCACACAGAGAGTGGAGCGTGTATGGAACGAGCTGCCAGAGGAAGTGGTAGAGGAGGGTACAATTACAACATTTAAAAGACCTTCTGACAAGTACTTGAAAAGGAAAGGTTTAGAGGGATATGGGACAAACACCATAATCAAAGGCCCCTCCCATCTTGGTTATAATCTCTTCCGTCAGGCAGAAGATATAAAAGTTTGTAGACATTTACAAATAGATTCAAGAACACTTCTTCCCCGCTGTTATTAGATGTCCAAATGGACCTCTCAAATTTTAAATTTAATGTTGATCTCACTCTTTGTGCACCTTCTCTGGAGCTGTAACATCGCTTTCCTCGGTCTGTTCTATTACCTCGATACACTGTGTATGGTACGATCTGTCTGTGCTGCACACAAACTGAAATTTCTCACTGTACCTAGGGACAGGCAAAAATGCAGGCAATGGGAATAATTTGGTTTGGGAAACCTGGTCAGCATAGATGAGTTGGCCTGAAGTGTCTGTCTCTGTGCTGTAGGATTCTATGATTACTAAGGGCAACAAAAGTTATGTGGAGAAGGCAGGAGAACGGGGCTGAGAAACATATCAGCCACGATTGAATGGCAGAGAAGACTTGAGGGGCTGAATGGCCTAATTCTGTTCCTATATCTGATGGTCTTACATGTCTTTCTGTTTACTGTGTGTTTGTGTGAGAGACCCTTAACCACTTGACTATAAATGTTTAGTGTATGTGCATGTTTTGTGTGTGTATGTGCATGTTTTGTGTGTGTATGTGCATGTTTTGTGTGTGTGTGTTAGTGTGTGTGTTAGTGTGTGTGTTAGTGTGTGTTAGTGTGTGTGTGTGTGTGTGTTAGTGTGTGTGTGTGTGTGTTAGTGTGTGTGTGCGTGTGTTAGTGTGTGTGTGTGTGTGTGTGCGCATGTTTTGAGCGTGTGTGTGTGTGTGTGTGCGCATGTTTTGAGCGTGTGTGTGTGTGT